GCCACGCCCCCAACTGAGGCGCTTCTTCCCCGCTTTCCCTCACCCATCTTTCCGTCCTCCCACTCTGCCCCTTCCTCAGCGCTTGAGGATCCTCAAAGACCCCCTTCCCTGTTTAAACCAGCACCTCCCTCCTCCAGATTCCCCAGGACCCAGAAGCTCCCTTTGTGCTCCCGGCACCCCAGAATCTTGTGTAAGCCTGGTTTCACTTCAGAGCCTGTGACAATCATTTTCAGGTAAGGAGTGATCATGCTACCATCACCTGACTTCCTCAGGAAACTAACTGTACTTCATTCCTGGGGGTGACTCACACCACTCAATAAATGCCTATTGAATTCAGGGACCTGGGACGTGGGGCCACCACCCCCAGCCTCCAGAGCTGGGGAAACTGCCTGTCCCGAGGAGCTAAAGAAGGTGGGGCTGTGGTGAGTGAGGGAAGGGGGTCCTGCCTCCCAAGCCCACCGCTGGCTTCCCGGTTGGCTGTGCAGCACGGGGCTCACCAGCAGAGGTTGTGGAGGGGATGGAAGCTCATCAGTAATCCTGCCTTTGAAGAGGCCCAGCGCCAAACTGTCAGCCACAGAGTGGGCTCTCGACCTCTCTCATTTGCTGGCTTTCTCTTCAGGACACAATGCGAAGCCCAGGCCCTCCAAGCCCGTGCTGAGACCCTTAAGGCATCCATCCACCTGACAGGCCCTGGGATGCGGGCCTCTGGACAGACATCTCGGGGGGAGGGAGGAAGGGGGGAAGGGGCTGAGCCAGAGAAAAGGAACAGCGCTGGGACAGCTACGGGGAGAGGGACAGACAACCCTCCAGACACAGGCCAGGCTTGGTACCAGGAGCCCAAAGACCTCAGTCCTAGCACTGCTTGGTTACTCATAGGCTGAGAGAACCGTATGGACCTCAAACCCTCATCTGTGAAAGGGGCACCATCAGGGCTGCCCTATGAGCTAGGTGGATGGAAGGGGCATCATCATCGCCAATATTATTATTATTATAATTAGATCAGGAGGTGCTGGGCCCACGGGAATAACAATGAGTACTGTATATTTAGAAGAACAGACCCCAGTCTGAGGAGACCCCCACACCTACTCTCTCCTCCCAACAATTCCCCACACCCAGGATTCTCAACCATTTTGATCCTGAAAAAAGTACTGGAAATTAACCAGAACGTGCTAGATGGGGAAACTGCTTCCTGGTCTGCATAGAAGTCCAAGTAGCCTCTGGCATGCCTATCTGTTTCCCCGTCCAGGGTCATGTGCCTACACACTAGGAACACCACCAGGGCTGTGACAGGCTCTACCCAAGGGGTGCTGAGCTTGGGGCCCCTGGTGTGCTGTCTCAATGGTGGGAGAAGGGCCTCTGGCCTGTGGCCCCTGCATGCAAGGAGCAAGAGTGTGTGAACCAGAATGCAGGTGTCCTGGGGTGACCACTGATGGATCCGCTGGGAAAAAAATCTGGCTAGCATGCTGTTAAAGATGTACAAGCTAACCTCCATCACACACTCAGCATGGGTGTGGGTGCACGTGCACACACATACACACTCACACACACACACACTGGGGCTGCGTTCTTTTCATATCATGGTCCCTGAAACAGACACCCTCCATTTTCCCTGCAAAGACTGACAGAGAAGTGAGGGCGACTAAGACCCCCAAGGATGGCACTGCCACCAGCCAGAGGGTGGGCCAGCAGCCTAGAGGACCGGGGATCTGGACCTTCCCGATGGACATGGATGGGCCTCTGTCCACCATCACCCAGGAATCAGGAAGGAGACGCGGAATCACATTACCAGCAACTGAAGATGCTGCCCGTGGCCTTGATCTGCTTCGCCCGTGGCCTTGATCTGCTTCCCTCCTGGCCAGCCTGCCACCCCCTGACATGGGACGATGCTTTATTACCACGGAGGAGCCAGGGAAGGTTTCTGTGGGCTGGCAGACTTCAGGGAGGGGGGAATCTTCTTGTTTTGTTTTCTTGAACCCAGCTTCAAAGTTGCTGTGCAAGCATGCTGTTAAGCTCACCCCAACACCCGCAACCTCTGAGCACATTTCTCATCACTGCACCCGGACTTGGCTTCACAAACTCAGCCTCCCTCTGACCCAGGTCACAGAGACCCAGAGACACCTAAGGAGAATAACCACCACAACAGTAATAACAGTTCTGCGTCGACACGGTACTTTCACATATGTGACTTTATTTCATGTGTATTCTTGGGGCACACACCACAGTCAGACCTAGTACCTGCACGCAGAGTCTCTATGCCAACCACGCTGCCTGTCCAGATGGATGCACCCACCGCTGATGCCGGACTTGGCAAACAGACCTGCACACGCGCTGACGGCCGCCTTGCACGGAGCCAGAGAGTGCCTCCCAAGTGCACACGCAGCCAGGGCTCCATGAACATCAAGACAAGGGAAGGACCTCACAGGATAAATACCCGCGCCGACTCCTTCCTGCACGCGCTTCACCCACAATGGGAAGCCCCCGTACCCGGCCCCCCGCTGGACACACGTGTCACAATTCTACCCCTTTGGTTCTTCACTTTGCCAAGGCTTCTAAGCCTTACACACAGTCTGTCCAGCACGCCTCTTGCAATGCACGCAAGCCATGTACACACGCACACAGCCGCCATGGTCTGACTCTACACACCAGCTCCCCCACCACCCACTGACGCCACGCTCTCCCTTCCTGCCCTGAGGGAGGGGGCAAATTCCCCTGGCAGGATGGAAAGAGACTAAAATCTACTGAGTTAAGCATCTCATTGGGGTTTTTTTGAAATCCAAGACCTACTCCCGAACTCCGTAGGCCCCAGGATGGAGGGAGAAAGCAGGGAGTGGTTGGCAGGCCAGAGGCTTTCTCTTTAGATCTTTAACCTGGGGCGCAAGAGCTCTGAGGACCCTCTCAGATGGACCCCCGCCCCGACTGCCTCCCCTTTCCACTTCCCACTAGCGATTCGTGTCATTCTCTCCTTCGTCCACACCCTTCTCTCTCAGTGGGGCTGAGTCCAGAGCCCTGAGCCCTCACTCAAAGTCTTCCCCTCCCCCTCCCATGGCCCCAGTGAGCATCCACCGGGACTTCTCCAGGAGGCCAGAGAAACAGGAGGGTGGCTCTGTAGCCCCCCCTCCCCAGGGCAGACCCAGGCCCCCAGCTGGGAAAAAAGAGGGTAGGAATAAACAGGGATGTGGAATAGGGGTTAGGCTCTGGTGGGAACTTGGGGGAGTCCTGTCTCTGCACAGAGACCTTTTCCCTGGCATGCTGTTCAGGGCAAATGATACAAAAGTGAAGAATAAATGAAACTGAGGGAGGGGGCAGAAGGGACAGGGCAACAGGGGAAATGAGTGGCAGGGAGGAGGAATGTGAGAAAAGGAGAAAGGGGGAAACGAGAAAGACAGAAAAAGAAAGGGAGGGGTGGAGAAAAGGAAGATGAAAAAAAAGAAAGAAAACCTGAGTGGGTGGGGGATAGTTTTTATGGAGAGAAGGAAGAGACAGAGAGACTGGAAAACAGGAGAAAGAGAAACCAGCAAAGGAGATGGAGAAAAAGGAGCCCGAGGAAGGACACAAGAGGAAGAAAAGAGTAGGGAGCAGAGAAGCAGGAGGAGACAGCCCAGGGGGTTCCCCAAGTTACACACTTTGCCCAGAGAGCTGAGGGGCGCACCCGGCTCCCCAGCGTCACTCCCAGGCCCTGGAGCCCCGCCGCCCACCTCTCGGGCCAGAAACGCCACCACCTCTCAGAATCCCATCCCAGCTGCTCCCCATCTCAGCTCCCACCCTTCCGGCAGTCCGAGGCACCCCGTTTCTTGCCCTCATTCCCACCCCCAGCCCTTCCTGCTTCCCCCTGCCCTCTTACCTCGCCCCCCCACGCGCCCTGCTTGCTTGTGAGCTTCAGACAGCATCACCACCAGACATCCTCACCACCATCACACTACAGCGGCCCCCACACCCCTAGCAAAGGGAAAACGACAACAGGCGGCACCGCCACCAGCCATGACCCCCTCGCGCCTCATTTTCTCCACAGCCGCCCCTTCCCCAGATACAGGGTCCAAAATGGGGATCCCGCCCAGCCCGGGGAGCCTGTCCAAAGCGCCCAAGCCGGCCGGGCACCCATGCCGCCTTGTCTCTCCTCTCTGCGCTCTCTCCTTTTTGTATATGATGGCCCCAGCCGCGGTGTGTTTTATTTTCGTCTTTTTATTGGTGTTATTTTTTCTCTTCTTTTTCTTTATTTTTTGGCCTGGGGGCGGCAGCGATGAAAGCGCCCACCGCCCGGTCTCCTCCACCGGCTCCGGGCAGGTCGCTCTTTCTCTAGTCTGCGCTCCTCTGCCTCCCTCCTTTCTCTTCTCTGTCTCCGCTCGGCTCCTCCGTCCTTTCAGCTCCGTCCTCAGCCGACTGCTCTCTCCTCTCTCTACGGCCGCCTCTTCCACGCCTCTCCTTTCCCCTTCTTTCTTGCCCCTTCTCCCCTTTTTTCTCTCCCTCTTCACCTCCTCTTCGTCCCCATTTCTTCCCATCCCTCCCCACCCCCCCCCCCCACGCACATCTCCCCTTCGGTTCCCAAGCTGCCAGACAGTACGTCGACCCCCACCACACACACACACACCTCGCCCCCAAATAATAAAGATACCCAGCCAGGGGGCAAAGCCCCGACGCCGGGCGCCGGGAGGGAGGTGAGAGGGCCGGGGCCGCAGCGGCGGTGGGCAGCCGGAGCGCGGTGCGGTGCGAGCGGCGCCCGCCCGGCTCCCGCCCGGAGAGCTCTCTGCAATAGGCCGAGCCGGCTGCATTAAGCTTCTTGCAATCAATAAAGCGCGGGTCAGATTATGCAAAGCGCAGATATTAATATGCAAAGTTTTAAAGATTTTTAAATGGAAGGGCGAGCGCGGCGCGGGCGGGCAGGCAGGGGCTGCGAGGGGAGAGGGAGGAAGGGAGGGCGGGCGGGCGGCGCGCAGGCGAGCTGGGGAGAGGAGGAGGCTGCCCGCCGCCCGCCCGCCCGGCTGCGCCGCGCCGCCTTGCCTTACCGCTGCTCCCATCGGTAGGCGCCGCTGTCTTCGCCATGCGCGTCAGCTGCACGGCTCCGAGGGGATGGCCGAGGAGGAGCCGCCGCCGCCAACGCTACCCCCGCTCCCGCTCCCGCTCCCGCGCCCGCTCGCTGCCTGCTGCTGGCGCTGCTCTGGCCGCTGCTCCTCGCCTGAGCTGCCGGCGCGAGCCCAGGCGCGCGCCATCCCCGGCTCCCACCTTGTCCCCATGGCAACCCCGGGCCCAAGGATGCTCAGAGAGAGAGCGCGAGCGAGAGAGCGAGGGGGGAGAGAGGGAGAGGGAGAGGGCGGGGAGCGCAGGGGACACGGAGGCAGGGAGAAGCCCGAGACTCAGAGACACAGAGACACTCAGAGACACACAGAGACAGGCTGAAACAGAGATGCAGTAACAGAGAGAGGAGAGTGGGGCGGGGAGTCGAGGGGGACACAGAGACAAGAAGCCGACAGAGACCTACAGAGACACACAGAGATACACAGAGACACAGAGAAAGAGACAGAGGGGAAAGGGGGGGCAGGGAAAGAGAGGTGGATGCAAGAGCAGGAAGACACCCTGAGGCTCAGAGATTCACAGAGACACCCTGAGACGCAGAGACATCCAGAGACAGAGAAAGGGGGGGAAAGGGAGAGGGAATAAGGCAGGGAGCACAGAGGACTCAGGCAGGGAAAGAATCATAGAGACAAAGAGATGCCCAGAGACAGAGTCACAGAGTCAGAGAGACACAGAGAGACACAGAGACTCACAGAAACATATGAACACAGAGACAGAGGGGGTGGGAAGCAGGGGGGACTCAAGGGCAGGGAGAGGCCCGAAGAGCCAGAGACTCAGAGAGACACCAGAGACACAGAACACAGGGAGGAAAGGGAAAGGACGGGAGTACAGGGGACGTGGAGGCAGGGATGCCAGAGACGCAGAGAGACATGGAGACACAGGCATGGGGAGGGGGGAGAGAAGTGGGGAGAGCAGATGGGAACATGAAAGCAGAGAGAGGCACTAAGGACCAGAGACACTCAGAGACAAAGAGATAAAGAGAAGAGATCCAGGCAGAGACAAAGCGAGACGAAGAGCCAGAAAAACAGCCAAAGAAGCAGACGCACAGACAGCAGATATGAATAGTCATATAGAGTCAGAGACACAGATAAGAGAGAGAGACATGCAAGAATCAGAGAAGAAAGAGCCACACTCAGAGAAAGAGGAAGAGGCAAGACAGAAGTTGGAGAGATACAGAGATAGGAAGACACACAGAGAGAGACAGGCGTGGAGAGATGGACACAGAGATAAGACAGACATCCAGAGTCAGAGATATGAAGACAGAGCAGAGAGGCAATACCAGAAAGACACTGACAGAGACCGAAAGAAAGAGACGGGGACAGAGACAGAGAGAGGGGAGCAGAGAGAGAGGGGCAGGGGGCTAGTGAGATGCAGACAGAAACCAGGATTCTGAGAGGGTACCTAAGAGACAGAAAGACAGAAATGTGCAAAAGGAGACACAGAGACCAAGAAAGAAAAAGGAACAAGAAGAAATACAGGCAGTGAGAGATGGAAAGCAAAGACAGACTGAAAGAGTCAAAGTGGTGATGCAGAGAAACACAGATACAGACAGAAACATACACAGAGACTGCAAGAGATGGAGGAGACATTAAAGAGACAGAGAGAGAAATGGTGGATGGGAACAGACAGATACTGGAACTAGCTCCCTGGTGAGCAGAGATCCACAGGGAGATCCACGACAGAGACACCAAGAGATAAATGGAGAGTCCGAAACAGAGAATGGGAACTGGAAAAGGTGGGGGGCGGGGACAAAGAGACAGAGCCTAGGGAAAGCAGAAAGGTGCAGGCTTCGGTGAGAACAGAGACCAGGAGCGTGGCAAGGGAGCAGCAAGGGGAGAGAGCAGGTTGGGGAGGGGAGCAAGGAGGGCAGGGTCTGGTCACTGAACACCTCCGCTGTGCGGGACACAGTAAGGCTGGGGAGGTTGAGAAGGAGGGCACCCTGGGCCCTGGGCCAGCCTGCGCACGGTCTGAGGAGGACACGTGTCTGCCGGCCCCGGCCGGTGGGGGCGCTGCGGCGCCGAGAGGAGGATGGCGCTGCGAGTGGTACCCAGGCCGGGAGGCGGTTTGGGGGAGGAGAGCGCGGGCGCGCGCCGCGCGATCTGGGCTCAGCTGCCGCCCGACGCTTTGTTACCCGTCCGGCTGCCCCGCGCGGACCGAATGGGCACACAGGACCCTCGCGTCGGGTGAGTGAGAGAAACAGGAGAATCACCAACTGCCCACGTGTACCGAGAGGGCTCCTGGGACCTACACTGCAAGTGCGTAACAGAAATAAATACAGGAAACACCTACCCCGCGGGCGTACAAAGTAAGTACGCGGGACTGCGCAGCGCGCTTAACAGACACGGAACTACCTATGGCCCCCCAACCCCCCGCCCCGTGTGCAGCAGTCTCTTGGGACCCACTCTGTGTGTACAACACAAACAAATGCAAGAAATACGCCCCCCCCCCCCCCCGCATACCAAGTAGGTACAGTGACTCTCACAGCCCCTGCATGAGAGACTTAATACCCACTCACAGCAGAGGCCCCCAGGCCCCACACTACCTGTTCAGGACGCAAATACAGGAAACTGCGGGCCGCACCTGCACACAGACTAGGCACACAAGACCTACAAGGCATGAGCATCAAGGACAGGGAACCACCTACCAAGCAGCTTATCAGAGCCCACACAGCGTATGCACAGCACAGATGAATGCAGGGGTACCAGATGGCCCCGGCCTGTAAAGCAGGCGCAGGAGTCAATGGGCCTCCCTAGTGTGAACATGGTAGACGCCCACAAGCAGGTTTTGGCATCCTACAGCATATCACAGGTTACTATAAGAAACCCCCACTCCACTTGCATACCAAGGCACATGGGTCCCACTAGTAAGAAGGAAACCCCCAAAAAGGATGTGTATAATGACAACATGGGCTTCCCAGGTGGCTCAGTCTTAAAGAATCCCCCTGCCAATCAATGCAGGAGATGCAGGCTCGACCCCTGGGTTGGGAAGATCCCCTGGAGGAGGAAATGGCAATCTTTTCCAGTACTCTTGCCTGGGAAATCCCATGGACAGAGGAGGAGCCTGGACGGCTACAGTCCATGGGGTTGCAAAAGAGTCGGACACAACGGAGCAACTCAACAACAACAATGACAACACAGGAACTGCCCACCCTGGAAGGAGCAAGAAGGAACATGCAATGAATGTACCCGACTGACCCTGTTGTGTGCACAAAAGACAGAGGGTGACTGCTGGAAGGGAGGTTCCGGGCCAGGGCTGGGGCCAAGGACAAGGACAGGCTGTGCTCTGCCTTGCCCCCAGCATCCTAAAAGGATGCACGTAGTGGGGGCTCATCCCTCCCAAGAATGACCAAGTCTGCGATAATTATGTGTATGATGGATATGGGCTTCCCTGGTGGCTCAGATGGTAAAGAATCTGCCTGCCATGCGGGAGATCTGGGTTCGATCCCTGGACTGGGAAAGTCCCCTGGACTAGCGACTGATGAATACACACTAAAGACACAAGGCCCAGTGTTGAGGGCCCAGAAACACAGATCTGTTACGTGGGGACCCTTTCAGATGCTTGCTGGACAGGCTGCTGGGTGGTAAGCTGAGTCATAACCCCTGATTATCCAGAATATCCACCCTAAGCAGAAGCTGACATGCCTCAGCCAGGAGGAGAGCCTTGAGTGCAGGTGGTCCTAAATGCTCTCGAGGGCTCCACCCCATCCTGAGTCATCCTGGTGGCGGGTTGAGGCAGCCACCAGGCACATGCAAAGATGTATGCAGGGCATGGCACACAACGCTGGGAAAATGTGTGTGCGTTTTTCTTCTGAAAGAACCGCAATTCCAGAAGTTCTGGATTCCTCTGAGGAGTGCGTGCATGTGGGTCTGAATGAGGGCCACATCCAGGTACAGATGTGCATGCATGTCACCCTTCCTGGGTGAGTCAACTTGGATGCTTAGCTCTCACCCCTCCTTGGCCTGTTCATTCATATTACAAAAACGTGTAAAAATAACAGTACCTGGTGTATACCAAATGCACTACGTTGTAAGCTGTTGGTACTTGTCATTGTGTCTGCATATCACAATGTACCTCTGGACAGAGGCACATGCTCATTAATGCAACATATCTATTCATGCATCTGCGGCCACATGTGTGTGCGCACGCATGTGCGTGTATCTTTGTGTCTGGGTCACAAGTCTTGGATCTCCCTTATACCCCTGAGGGTAAAGGGGGTAAGATATGGAAAATGGGAGCACAGGGAAAGGGAAGAAAGCTGGGAGAAGGAGGAGGGAAGTGGTACAAGAAGAAGCAGACAGTGGGTGGGGGGGGCTTCCCTAGCAGTCTAGTGGTTAGGACTCCATGCTTCCACTGCAGGGGCATGGGTTCAATTCCTAGTTGGGGAACTAAGATCCCCTATGCTGCCTGTCTAGTCAAGGCTATGGTTTTTCCAGTGGTTATGTATGGATGTGAAAGTTGGACTGTAAAGAAAGCTGAGTGCTGAAGAATTGATGCTTTTGAACTGTGATGTTGGAGAAGACTCTTGAGAGTCCCTTGGACTGCAAGGAGATCCAACCAGTCCATCCTAAAGGAGATCAGTCCTGAGTGTTCATTGGTAGGACTGATTTTGAAGCTGAAACTCCAATACTTTGGCCACCTGATGCGAAGAGCTGACTCATTTGAAAAGACCCTGATGCTTGGAAAGATTGAGGGCAGGAGGAGAAGAGGACGACAGAGGATGAGATGGTTGGATGGCATCACCGACTTGATGGACATGGGTTTGAGTGGACTCCGGGAGTTAGTGATAGACAGAGAGGCCTGGAGTGCTGTGGTTCATGGGGTCGCAAAGAGTTGAACATGACTGAGCGACTGAACTGAACTGAACTGATGCTACACAGCACAGTCAAAAAAAAGAAGGGAGGGAAAAGAGAAGTGGAAGTGGAATGGGACCTAGGGAAGGAAGGAAGGAGGCCCTGAGGACAGAAGCAGACGGGAGACAGTGGACGAGGAAGGGGGAACACTAGGACAGCAGTTGATGGATGAGAATGGAGGGGAGGCCAGAGGAGAAAGGAGGTAAGTGGGATGAACGGGAGACAAGAGAGAAGTGAGCAGGCTGAGGGCATCAAGAAGAGGGACACAGACTGGGGAGAGGAGAAAGGAAATGGGAGATGGAGGGAAGAAGAAGAGGGAAGGAAACCAGAGAGATAGAGGTTTTTCTGGCCTGTACAAAATTTAGAGATTCCCCCACAGTCCCCATGGGAAAATGTTTGAGTTGGGCACAAAGGGGATGGCAGGAAGCAAAAGACAGGAGGAAAGAGAAATTAAATAATGCAGTGTTCCAGGATGGGGCAGCTCAGAGGAGCTCAGAGAGAAGGGCTCCCGGGGCACAGAGAAAGGTACCCAGAGCCAGCCTGAGGTGTGGAGGCAGCTGCAGCAGACAGGTCCTGGAGATGATGGCAGGAGGAGCTGGTGGACTCAAGGAGGCCCAGGCTCAGTGGTACAGAGGCATCCAAAGACCAGCAGGCAGGTGTGGGGAACCAGGAACCAGGCAGGGGGAAGAAGCTTAGAAAGGGGCAAGGAGAGAGAGCCCACTGGCTTGAAATGGCCAAGGCAGGTGGAGGAGCAGCTGGAGGGTGGTGTGAAGGCATGGACATGACGCTCATAGAGACCCTGGTCTGGGGCAGAAACAGACAAAAAATACGTGGCTACTGATACACACAGCAGCACAGATGAACCCGAAAAGCAAAGTGAACAAGGCTTGTCACAGGAGACTAAATGCAGTAAGGTTCCATTTACACAAAATTCTAGACAGAGTGAAACTGTAGTGACAGGAAGGCAGCTCCGTGGTGGAAAAGAGCTTGGACTGCGAGGAGAGACTGTAGCAAAGGGACAGGAGGGAACTTTAGGGGGTCATGAGAAGGTTTGGCATCATGACTGTGGTGGTAGTTACATGACTCTGCCCTGTGTGTGTGAAGACCCATCACACTGTAAACTTGAAATTGGTAAATGTTATTGTCACCCGCTCCCGTATTCTGGGGGCTTCCCTGGTGGCTCAGACAGTAAGGAATCTGCCTAAAATGCAGGAGACCAGGGTTTGATCCCTGGGTAGGGAAGATTTCCTGGCAAAGGGAATGGCAGCCCACTCCAGTATTCTTGCCTGAGAATTCCATGGATAGAGGAACCTGATAGGCTCTAGTCCAGTCGATGGGGTTGCAAAGAGTTGGACACAACTGAGCGACTTAACACTTTATTGTATTTATACTGCAGTAAGACTTCCCAGGCAGTCCAGTGGTTAAAATTCTTTTTTTTTTTTTTAAATATGGAACGCTTCACGAATTTGCATGTCATCCTTGTGCAGGGGCCATGCTAATCTTCTCTGTATCATTCCAATTTTAGTATGTGCTGCTGAAGTGAGCACCAGTGGTTAAAATTCTATGCTTCCATTGCAGGGGACACAGGTTCATCCCCTGGTCAGAGAAGTTCCACATGCCACACAGTGTGGCCAAAAAAAAAAAACTATACTGCAAAAAAGCTGACCAAAAGTACATACATAAACAAAAAATTATGCACCAGAATATTAAGGCTGAAGATAGTGAGAACTGTGCTCTGGAGGAACCAAAAAGACGAAGAAGGGGCAGTGAAGGGGGGCTTCCAGGAAGAGGTGATGACTGAGATAAGACCTTAAGGATGGGGGTGGGGGTAAGACGTTTCCATGGAAGCAGGACTTTCACATGGAAGCAGGTGAGAACCGAAAAAAAGTTCAGTGTGTCTCAAACACAGAATGCAAAGTAGGACCATCAAGTAATGAGGGTAGAGAGAATTAGAGTCCAAAACGCAAGCCCCATGACCCCCAGTGTGCCAGGTGGAATAAACCCCACCTGCACCCCCAGAGACCCACTGCATGCAAGACAGAACTGGGAATTAGTAATCTGCCTGTGGCCACCCCACAAAAAAAGGGTTCCTTCCCCTGCCCTTCTGGAACTTCTTCCCTGCTTCCTTCACGTGGGAACGTCCCTCCCTACCAGGCAACAGCCCTCACAGTGGGCCAGCAGCACCCCCCCACTATCTGTGCCCACAGCCCACATCTCTCCGCAAGCTTGCGGGCCCCAGTGGATCCCTCCAACCTGGATTCTGTGTGGCCACTGCCCCCTGGTGGCTGGAGCCATGCATTACTGAGGATGAAGGGACAGTGCCCAGGCCAGGT